GGGGGGGGGGGGGGGGGGGGGGGGGGGGGGGGGGGGGGGGGGGGGGGGGGGGGGGGGGGAGAGAGGGGGAGAGAGAGCATGTGAACTGCAGCAGAGGCTGGTGGGAGGAAGAGGAAGAGCGGGAGGGAGGGAGGAGGAGGGGGAGAGAGATGGGAGGGAGAGAGAGCATGTGAACTGCAACAGAGGCTGGTAGGAGGGAGAGGGAGGGGGAGAGAGAGGGAGGGAAGGAGAGGGGGAGAGAGGGAGAGAGAGGGAGAAAGGGAGGGAGAGGAAGGGAGAGGAAGGGAGGGAGAGGGAGAGAGAGAGGGAGGGGAGGGAGAGAGTGAGCAGTTCATTGATTTCATAAATGCAACACACTATAGTTTTTTTATACATAGCATAAACGTAAAAAACGTTATATGCAGTGTTATCTTCATTTTAGATGTCAAAAGGGTTTTGTGGCTCCCAGTGTTTTCTTTTCTATGGGAAATGGGTCCAAGTGGCTCTTTGAGTGTTTAAGGTTGCCGACCCCTGATCTAGCAGATGAGCCAGCTATAATACAACCTTCTCCTTCCACTCCTCACTGCCTACTGAACTACTGCGCATGGCGCCATAGGATGGGCATCACTATCCCCGCTTATTTCTCACACATGCTCAAATGGAGGTTTATTTCCAAATTGTCCTTTTACTTTGAGAAGGAGAAAAATTGTTTCTCCTTGTCCATTTTATCCATGCCATGCATAATTTTGTGTTCCTCAACCATATCCTTCCCTTTGTCTCCTTTCTAGACCAAACAGTCCTCAAATAGGGATGCTGCCCCATCCCTTGAGCCTCTTAATTGCTCTCCTATGAACCATCTCTAGCTTTACTACATCATTTTTGAGGCATGGCAACCAGAGCTGCTCATAATAGATGTAGTTGCACCAATGATTTATATAAAGGGCATTATAATATTGGCATCACTATTTCCAATATCATTTTCTATTATCTCTAACAAGCTTTTGGCCTTTTTTTTACAACAGATGTGCACTATGTTGGCATCTTCATTGAACTATTTATCATCATTCCATGAACTCTTTCCTTTTCACTTCTGATCCTATTAGTTTTTATAAACAGTTGGGGCTTTTGGCAACAATGTGCTTTATTTTACACTTGCTCACATTGAATGGCTCCTTCCATTTTGATATCCACTCCCCTAATGTGCAGAGATTCCTCTGGAGCTTTTCAGACTCCCTTATTGTTTTTACCACTCAGAACAATTTAGTGTCATCAGCAAACTTGGCTATTCCATTAAGCACCAGGTGATTCCAGGTCATTTATAAATATGTTAAAAAAGCACTGATCCTATACAGAATCCTGGGGGACCCCACTAGTTACCTCTCTTCATTGTGAGAAATGGCCATTTACTTTTACTCTTCATTTTCCATTCTTTACCCCATTGCTTATCTACAAGAGGGCCTACCTTTTTATTCTATGGCTATTAAACTTATTCAGAATCAACCTTTGATTATGTTGGAGCCTCTATTATTGTGATTTTAAACAGCAGCCAAGCTTTCTGGAGAGTGATTGCCCTTTTGGCTTCCTATTTGAGTTTTCTTTTCATCAGTCTATTCAATTCTGAGAATTTCCCTTCTTTGAAGTGAAATATAACTATGCGGAACTTGCTATGTAAGTTAACCCATGTCTGAATGTTGAATTTTATTGAACTATGGTCACTATTTCACATTATGAAGATGCAATAATAATGACATTTTATTGAGAATCAATTCTCATTTTCTAGGTATGGTAGGTGATAAATTAGTAGCATATTATAAGACTTTGTAGTGTTGTGTAGTCAATGTTAGCATAGGTTGTACCAAAGAATTGAAATTGACAGTATCCCACATGCTGAGAAATCTGATTGCACAGAGTTCCTCATCGTGTGGAAGACCGCAACTGTGCACCAGCCAAGTATGGTTATAATCTATGGTGGGAAGCATTGCAATCACAGTTAGAAATATCCATCTATGGAATACCTTCCTGTCAGAGTCAAAGAAAAGAAGAACAACCTTGACTGCCAAGGAAGGCTCTGTTTTCTCTGGTAGGAAAAAGAGAAATGATCACAGAGACCCATGACGAGAAGAGAGGATCAATTGAAACTCTGCAGGTTTCTTCTACAGGTTCCTTCTCCAAAAGAATCAGAATAGAGGAGGGTATGTAGTTATTTTCCTGCTGGAAGCTGCCCAAAGTCATTGGAGTTTATTTATTTATTAAATTTAGATGGTGCCCATCTCACTGTTACAGCAACTTTCAGCTTCTGGGTGGCATGCAAATTGGATTGATAAATAAATGAATCTGGCCCCAAGATAGAGGCACCAATATGGTGACCTATTCTCAATTACAATCTCAAAGTCGGGACAAGGGAGCTCTGTGGTCAAACACATTGTTAATATCAGGCTCTTCTTTAATCCTAATGCACATATAAATGGACCCTTTGTATTTGGCTCTCCTTCTAGGAGGAAGTAACTAGCTAAATATTTAGCTCAGTCTTTCCCCGTCATGTATTTTCTTTCTTGTTTTTCAATTAAAGTTAAAATCCTGCTTCACTTATCTTTCCCCAAGCTGGATTCTTAGGGATGCTCATACACACAGAAAAAGTCATTTTCTCTCACACCACTGTCATAGACAAATCACTACTTGAAGAAGCTGAACCTTAAAACTACCTATAACCTCAGCTGGAGTGGAAAATAAATGTGACTGATTTCCTCTGGGACTATGAATCTAGAACATTTTCGGAGCCTTTTCAGGGAATTTGTTGCAGGTAGTAGTCTTAATAAGATCTTCATCTCCACCGGAAAGATTGGAGATGATTGCTCCCAAATGTCTTTGATTAAACCATAAAGCTTGTCTCAGCTCCTTGGTATTCTGGGGAGCTAGGTTAATGAAACATTTGGTGCAACGGCTAAAGTATAGATGTCCGAAAATGTCTTGCAACATGATCAATTACCAATAAGAACTACAACAGAGGACTTCAGAGGATCTCTGTCCATGACTAATTTACACCTTTTATTTCCTTTAGACTCTATTCTGATGCCATAGCACAGAGAAAGATTTGAGAAACATTTAGACACAGGAGATCTATTAAAGTCAGCATTAATAAGGCTTCTGCTGATTGAGTTAAGGAAAGTCATATATTCCTTCTGTTAACTACATTACAGATTACTCCTATCCAAATGCTGGTATCTGACAATGCTTATCAGATCGTAAGCCTTCATTGTGGCCTATGGTAGAATTGGTGGATTTAAAGTGCTGGCAAGAAAATAGCTCAATGCTCTGTGGCAGAGACTTAACCAAACTGTGTAATGTAGTTGGAGAGGTGATGGCCACATCACTGAAAACTGCCAAATTGGGAAATGCTAAAAGTAAAAACAATGTTACAGCAAAGTCTTATCATACTACATGAAGTATCAGCCTTATGACTTTTGAAGCCTTAGATCAGGGGTCCCAACCTCAGGTCCGTGGACCAGTACCGGGCCGCGGCACACCAAACAAGCAAAGCTCCATCTGTGGGATGCAGGCAGCATACAAACCCATGCACTCTCCAGCCCACGGAAAAACTTTTCTCCACGGAACCGGTCCCTGGTACCCAAAAGGTTGGGGACCTCTGCCTTAGATTCACAGGTCTAAGATAATCAAGTACTCTAAAAATTGCTATAGAATTCCTTTATACTGCTGTCTTCTTTGTTTTGATCATTCCTGAATGTCCCTGTCAAATTACTCTTTCTTTAGTAGACATTTTATTTAGTAATATTTTTCTGAAATTATTTTAGTTATCCATTAGTTAGGATAGCAATTGTTATTTTTTGTTCTTTGCCTAAATGTTTAGGCTCTTTGCATTAACTATTGTAAACTATTCTTCATGATTGTTATATAGCTGTTTCTACTTTGCTTCTGTTTCCAGGACTAGAGACCTCTGTTTTTTTTCCTTACCAACTTTATAATTTCATTCTGAGATCTTTCTTTCACTTTGTGGGCCAAATAAAACATCTCAGACTGAAACCTTGTTCTCTATTTGGTATTGATAATCCATACATTCTCTTAAGTATTCTCCTTTTTGATATCCTGCGAAAACCATAATGTCATTGTGATTTACTTGCTTTGAAAATGAATGTGGTGGTCAACTATGCTGTATGACAAATTACTATTTACTAGATCAGTGCAATGTGCCTTGCAATTAGGCCTCTATGGTGAAGTGTTACAATATGTGAGGTGAACACAATGGTGGCACAATTTGTCTTACCGAGACATTTTATTTTGATTCTGAGCTTTCTCTGGCATTTCCATAGACAGAAGTCTCTTCCAATTCCTAGACATTCTAGAACAGGCCCCCAATTTGGCATTAAAAAAAACAACATACCACATCTACTTCATTGTTTAGAGGCAGGGGACCATAATCATGAAACCACACTGTAGGAGCACTTCACTTACATTTCATTACCTTTGAAGCAAACTACCCTTGCAAAGCTTTTTATTGTTGACAGCTTTATAGTTATAGTGTTGATCAAATATTATTTATAAATTTCATTATTTATTTAACCAATACTGCAAGGTCTATTTGACACCCTCCTGATTTTTATAACCAGCAAAATAAACCAGGCAAATTGTTCCTAGGTTTTAGAACGTAATGAACAATATAGTATTATTATTGTTATATATATTGCATTAATAATATTCTCCTTAGATACCAGTTTTTGAAAGAAAAATAAAGAAAAAAAATTCTAAATCAGTTTGCTCCATTCAGTAATAATTTGCATGTGAAGATCAGATCATTTTCATGGTAGTTTTCTTTTCTCAGTGGAGTATTTTGTCCACTGCTTCATTCAGTGCTTTATAGATTAATAATGTTTATTATCAACCAAATGATTGATCCATATAATTGTATGCAGAAAAAATGCACATAATAGATCAGTAGAATGTACATGACTGTTTCACTTCATTCCGTCCTCATTCTGCAAACCAAAGGTCTGAAGACAGTGACTTACCTCGTTCACATGATCTGCCCAGGTAACCTGTACCAGAACAATCACAGACATATCTGTTCCAGCCATCTCTACATATGCCATTGTTTTTGCATGGGTTGCTTAGACATGGCTTTGCTGTTTCTCTTGAACAGGAGGGTTTCACCCCAGATGTGCTCTGGATTTCTGCCATTTGACGGATATCTTTACTTTGTCCATCAATAAATAAATCTCGAATACAGCCCACATAGCCATAATTTAGAAGGGCTGTCCAGACCTCCGTTGGAAAGACAAGGCCAGCTTTATTTTCTGGCAAACCTCCAAGGTATAAATCATCATCTAGATCCAAGATCTCACTTTCTCCTGGTGCAGTATAAGGACTTCGCATCGTGTTGACAGAAATAGTACCTGTTTAGGAACAAAGTATAAGTAATTCATTTGAGACAACATGTTCTAACTATTTATTATTGGTATTTATATTCTAATTCTCAGTAAAAGTCATCCCCCCCAGTAATTATAATAAATATTTTTAAAGTCACATGCATTTATCTGGAGAACAATTGAAACTTGAATAAATTATTTTAAAAAGGAATAGAAATAACTCATTCAATTGTTATTACAAGAATTAATCCTGTGGAATGAATTATAATTCTATGTTTGTTCATTTGTTTTATTTGCTGATAAAAACAAGGCAATTGTTGCAGGAGGGTATATTGATTTTCTAACATGATAAATACTATCCAAGATTGTGTGATGAAACCAATTTAATTCCTTTATAGCATATAATTTGATCATCTGTATTCAATAGTATGAAGATGGCACATTTTGTACTAGGCTCGCGCCATACTTGATTCTTTTTCTTCCAAGAAGTAAGAACATTAATCAATCAATCAGTCTATCAATGCATGAATACATATACCATGTGAATGGGAGACAAAAAGTATAGCCAGCGAATGTCTAAAAGGATTATTCTTAGTAATGGGTGAATGTAATTTTATGACACTGAAAACAAAAAAATAAAACAGATGTAAAATAAAAAGCAGACAAATGAAATGAATGTTTCCTCATATGTTTGAGGAACTACATATCGTATTAGTGAAATGTTCCCACTACTATGTAAAACAACTTGAATGAAAAATGGCACTGAAGAACAATCCAAAATAATTAAAAACAACTTAAAAAGTAACTAGTATAAATATGAAAAAGGACACTATGGAAAGTCATTTGAAGAACCCACAATTTGCTCTGTCTTGTCAGATGGTATCTGAACCAGGGCTCCACTGTTATTTTCAGGATGCATGAGAGATGAAAACAGCGCTAGGATCAAAACATGATCAGAACGTTTCCAGCTGTTTCTTATATTGAAATGATTTGATCTTAAACATTAAATATGAATTTAGATTAAGTATGTTTCTGTTCTAAGCACATTTGCATAAGTTATCTGTCCTGTTTCTTGGGATATATGGAGCAGCAGTAGATGAACTTTGACTGACATTGCCATTTAGAACCATCATAATATGTTATTTGAGTTATTTAACATTTATGACACAGACTGTTCCTCCTAAAATCCTGAGACAAATAAGACCTCATAAAAGTGAGACCTCTGAATGGATCAAACTCCTTTCCCTAAACTTTTTAATTATTTGAAGAGTTTTATTTTAATCAAAGATTCTTAAATAATAGCAGTGTCTTTTGAAGGATATTTTTTTAAAGTTATGCCTCTCAGCCCATAGTAACCATGCTGTAAAAAAGTTAGTTATTCTACCCAGTTTATTCAAACCTGAGCTTTGGAACATTTCCCTAAATAAAAATAGCAAACCTAAATATTGCCAATTGTATAGGCAGGATTTCAAGAATTTGCTTTCCTAAAAGTAAACTTTTGAACAAAACAGGGTGTAGTTTCTGAGGAGATATGCATAAGGTTGCATAGAATTGATTGTTGATTAGCACTATACTCTTGCCAGCAAACTATGCCAGGCACATAAAAATGTTTACAAAGTAGAGAAAAATGAAAGAAGCAGGATCTAAGTCTAAATTTTCAAAGTATATATTTTAACTCAGATTTGTCCTAGTGTTTAAGCATAGATCAGACAATAATTGAGATTGTTAATTATATAATACAGTACTGCCAGCTGGAGCTTTCCTCCAATAGGTTTCTTATATCCTACATGCAAACCTTCTTCATACTAATAGTGGGCACAAACTCCTCCCCTCATTTCTTTTCTAATCATTATTTGATGTGACAAAGCAAAAGTTGTTTTAGGAATTGACGCAAAGGAGAATTGTGGAGAAATCTTCATATCTGGAGAATGGTGCCCTTGCACCCTTATGTGTTAAATCCTGCCCTTTTTTATGCAATCACATCTCACTGGCGTGCAGACTCACTTCCCACACATTTAAATTAAATTTCAAGTTGACATCTTTAGGGAAACTTCCATTATAGATTTCTGCCTCCTGAGAAATTGGAGAATTCTTCTTTCCCTGAAGAATCACTGATCTAATTTCACTGCTTACAAATTTGATAGAGAATTTTGAAAGACATTTGTCTCCAGATCTTTTTCCTTCTCCTATAAAAAGTCTGAGTTTTAAACCATGAACCATGAAATGCAATATATATATATATAAATACTTCTATATATACTTTTAATAAAAGGCATGTCCCATACAATTCCATATTCACTCCATAATCCCTCTAAAGTGTTTGAGACTTTCTGTATGCTCATTTTAATTTCTGCCAACTTTATAATGGTGAGAAGAGACAGAGAATACTATGAGGCAATTAGTTCTCCTCCAGCCCATAAATTGGAGAGTGCGAAAATCATCGTTCAGTCAATTTTGTGCCTTAAGCTAGAGCTTCTCTTGGAGTAGTCAACATCCCCCCATCTATATCTCACATAGAAGAGAAACAATACTTTCTAGTATCCCTTCCACTGTGTTTTCAAAATGCAAGTAGTTCTTGACTTATGACCATAACTGGACTAGAAACTTCATCGTTAAGCAGCGCAGCTGTTAAATGTGGCATCATATGATCACAACTTACTACTTTTCCTGCTAGCTTCCTCCATGACTTTGCTTGACAGAAGCTGGCTGGGAAGGTTACAATGGCAGTTATGTGATCCCAGGACACTGCAACCATCATAAATGCAAGCTGGCTGCCAAGCACCCAGATAGTGATCATGTGATCGTGAGGATGCTGCAACAGTCATAAGTGCAAGGACCTGTTGTCACTTTTTTTCAGCATCTTGCAACTTCGAACAGTCAACAAAATGAACAGTTGTAAGTCTGTTCATCATACTACCTGTATGATGAAATGTGTTTATTTGGTCACTTTGAAAAAAACAAGCAAACAAATTGGTGTAAGAAAAAAGCTATTTATCAAAGTATCACTATTTTTGCTTATTATTTCTCATTCAAATGTGTGATGATGGCATAATGCCATCCTTTTGCAACAGATACTTTCCCAACAGCTGCAACCAGATAGAAATATATAGCCTGTGTATGGGGAAGAGGGTAGAAGCAGGGAGAAAGTTATGGCTTATTTGAACCCAGAAGGCAAGGAGGCAGAGAGAAACAAAAGTTAGTGTGAACAGAAAAAAAGGGAGTCCAGAAGCCCTGAAGAGTCCTGGCATTGCCAGTCACAAAATGGAAAAGGTTGCAGTCTTAGCTCGTCTACTTAAAGAACTAGGTAGCAGGGGCAATACTTCACCAATCTTATCTAAACTGAGAACCTAAGTAGAGTTAGGCTTGGCTAGTGCTTGGATGGGAGGCCTCCAAGAAATACCAGAGGTATAGTGGGAAACATCCTATAAGTAATCAAGGGCCACTTCTGAATAGTTTTCAAGAAAAATGCATGGAAGTGTCTGTAAGGTCAGCAGAAACAGAGACTGCACCAAGTATTTACCTTATGGGAAAAAGATGGCAGCATTTCACCAGTGCCTGATTGGAGCAAATGCTGCATGTGAAAGGGCCAAAGCTGCAAGTAAGGTAACAGCTCAGTAATACATTATTCAACAGCCTTATCAATCTTATGTCAGAATCACAGCGAGATGGTTACCGGGAAACAATTTAGTTGTCTATTCTTTGTGGATCTGTTATTAGTAAAATAATAATCTTCCCTCTGTTCCTACATTTAGATGGGAGGAAGCTTAAGCCTTAGAAACATTTACCATGCTTCTTTAATGGAATATAAACTAATTTAAAGTTATCTTTGAAATTTAAAATCTATGCTTAGTTAGACATAAAGGTGATGACTTTTTCTGCCTGCTTTTAATGTAGGTGTGTGCGTGTATGCATGTGCGTATGTGTGTGTGTTTGTGTGTTTGTGCATCTATCTCTAATAGTGGATCATATCACAACATTTTGCAGAATGCAGATATACTGGCGGTCATATTATTCTTGTTCTCCTAGAGTTTGATCAATAATGGATTCTGAGAGTGCCAGAAAAAAATGTAAAAAAAGAAGAAGTGCAGTGCCGTGCTAAAGGACAAAAGGGAAAGCACAACAGGTTAATCAAAAGCTCTTAGTGGTCCTTTTAAGCTCTGTGAAAGTGCACAGCAGTAAAATGCAGTTCTCATTAATTATTTTCCGGGACTAGTAATTCATCTGGGATAAGTGCTTGTATATCAAAACATACTTTTTTTAAAGGCTTAGGGCTACATTTGATCTTTGAGTGATATATTAGGAGATGCACTACAAAAATAGGTGAAGCCAAGACAAACAAATTGTTGGAATCTGAAGAGAAAAAAAATATTTACTTTAAAATTAAAGCAATATACTTAATCTAAATACTTTTTAAAATATATTTTCCAAGCAACTTCAGGTGTTTTGGGGGCCATGCCTAAGGCTTTGAGGAAAAGTTGTTCAGTCGCTAAGTCATATCTGACTCTTTGCGACCCGATGGACCATAGCAAGGCAGCTCCCCCCACCCTGTTCTCCACTATTTCCTGGAGTTTGCTTAAATTTACTTTCATTGAGTTAATGACACTATCTAACCATTTCATCCTCTGCTATCCCCTTCTCCTTTCCCAACACCAGGGTCTTTGCCTATGAGTCCTCTCTTCTCATTAGGTGGGCAAAGTACCGTATTTGAGCTTCAGCTTCAGAAACTGTCCTTCCAAAGAACAGTCATGGTTGATTTCCTTTAGGATTGACTGATTTGATCTCCTTGCAGTCTAAGAGACTCTAAAGAGGCTTCTCCAGCACCATAATTTGAAAGCTTTGAGGGAGAGAGGTACATGCAATTTTATAAATCATATCTTGGCAAAATTAACTGCCTTATTCTGAATCTAAACATTTACCTGTTCACAAAAACCACTGCTGCGTCTAATTAGTATTGCAAAAAACAAAAAAACAAAACAAATAAAAACCCTGTATCAGAGTATCACTTCTTTTACCAGGTTAGGGCTTTT